TCGTCCTCGTCCTCTGACGATCAGCGCGAACCACCACCAATGCCCAACGTTGAAGACATAATCACCCTTCGCGCCAAAAAGTTCATCGAGACGCACGAAAGGGATAGCGACAAGCCCACACGCGACAGGGCAATTGCAGTGCTGGAAGATCTGAAGACGCTTGCCAATGAAATCAAGGCTTGTGGCTCCAAGGGTACTGCAAGTAACTTCATGAACCTGTTCACCCGGTTAGCATCTTACTTTGAGGGTGATGCGCTTGAAAGTATCACGAGTTACGAGCTCAAGTCGTCCAAGATCGTCGATGTGCTATTGGAAGTCTTCTCAAAGCCAATGTCTTCAAAGCATGTCGATCCTCGACCGATCTTCCTAGAAGCTTTTATGGGTGGTAGTGGCCAGAGCAAAATCAAGACTGCCAGCACCGCGTCTCCTGCAACACCGTTCAGTGTCTTGGTGCACAAGCTTCAAGACCTTCTGAGTAGGTCCGAGCATTTCGATGTCATCACTGTGCATCAGAACATGTACGACAGCCGGGGAAGCGCGACCTCCATGTTGGCTAAGCAGCTTCGGCTCAAGCTCGTCGCTGATGACGATTCGGGCATTCCCAAGACATACCGTAACATCATGGTATCAATCCACGCCATTGCAACGTTCAAAGCCTTGGATGACTACCTCCGTCCTCGTATCAGCCTCGCAGACCGCCCTCGACCGGCTCAACCTAGAGACCAATTCGCTCGCGATCAGTTCGAAGCCATGTACGCCCAAGCTCTTGCTGAAGGTCGGGCGCCTCCACCCCCTCGAACACCATCTGATCCAGCGAGCCGCGCCCCAAAGAAGCCATCGCGTTCCAAGCCAGGTCCACCAGATTCACCCCAACCAGGGCCTAGCTCCGCTACACGTGAGAAGACACGGCGGTCGAGCAGACGTCAGCAGCAGAACCCTCCGCTGCCTCCACCGCCGCCGCCGCCAGCCATGCCTCGTTCCAACAACGGCCAGGACCCTGTCGAATGTGCCGATGAGTCTCAGCTCTCCGATCCCGAGTCTGTGGATGAAGATAGTGCCCTGAATGCCATAGTGGACGATCTAGAGGAAGACCTTGATGAGGATATGCCAGATCCGTCTGCAGTAAGCGTCGAAGTCGCATCAACAGGCAAAGCCACGGCCCACCAGGAAGACGGTACGAGGATTGCAACACCGGTACAAGGCACACCAATAGCGAAGCCACCTTCAGAGGCCAGGACTCCTGCTTCACGACTGTCTGCACTGTTGCAGAGCTCGGCTATGCGCCAAACCCTGGGAGGAGCGGCGAGCGCCCTTTCGTACGCTGCCGCGGTTCAGTCCACTCCACAAGACTGGCACATTGAGTTCAGTGTAAATGACCAGCCACTCTCGAATGAGACCACCATCTACCGTGCTGTACACTTCACGCGAGCTCAACCATCAGACGGTCCGTTGCGCTCAGTATGGAATGGCATTCATACAATCAAGTTCAAGCGGGTGCAGGGTCCACCACTGAGCGAATCCAGCTCTTTAACACCGCCTCCAGAGTCAAAGTCCGACGCTTCAGGCATGCCAGCTTCATTGGATGAACACCCTGTGACATCTGGTATCCTCAGGCTACTCAGCATACTTCACGGCTTAAATTCCCATCTTGATGACATCCTCCTAGCGAACAAGGAGCAGATCAAACTCAATGCGGAGCCGCTTTCGCAGTTTGTCAATACGAAGCTTACTGCGAAGCTCAACCGTCAACTTGAGGAACCTCTTATCGTAGCTAGCAATTGCCTCCCTAGTTGGAGTGAGGATCTAGCCCGCTTTTACCCGTTCCTATTCCCATTCGAGACTCGCCACCTCTTCCTGCAATCTACCTCTTTTGGTTACTCACGATCAATGACGCGATGGCAGAATTCGCAGCCCACGAGCGACTCACGAGGCGATCGGCACCGGGATGAGCGACCCTTCCTGGGCAGACTCCAGCGCCAAAAGGTCCGCATATCACGATCTCGAATCCTCGAGTCTGCGATGAAGGTCATGCAGCTATACGGACACTCTGCCAGTGTTTTGGAGGTTGAATATTTTGAAGAAGTTGGAACTGGCTTAGGACCAACCCTCGAGTTTTACTCTACTGTTTCTCGGGAATTCTCTAAGAAGAAGCTCAAGCTTTGGCGAGAGAACGAATCAAATGATAGCGACGAATACGCTTTTGGCAAGCGAGGACTATACCCCGCACCAATGAGCGAAGAAGAGGCGAACAGCGAGAATGGCGAGAAGCGCCTTGAACTGTTCAAAGTCCTAGGCAAATTTGTTGCCCGTTCCATGTTGGACTCTCGTATCATTGACATCTCCTTCAATCCAACTTTCTTCCGCATCAGTGACGGTTCCAGCACAGCCGTCGTGCCATCTCTTGGGGCCATCAAGACTGTCGATGAGGGTCTAGCCTCATCGCTATTACTGCTCAAGCAATTTGCCGACGCTAAGAAGAAGGTTGAGGACAGCGATCTGAGTCCCGAAGAAAAAGTGGTAGCTCTCCAAGAAATTGTCATACACGACTGCACCGTGGAGGATTTGGCGCTCGACTTCACTCTGCCCGGCTATGATTCAATTGAGCTCATCGAAAATGGCGCGAATACAGCAGTCACGATTGAAAATGTCGACTCGTATGTCGACAAGGTTATAGATTTCACTTTGGGCTCCGGTGTCGAGCGCCAGGCAAATGCTTTCCGTGAGGGCTTTACGGAGGTGTTCCCGTATTCTGCACTCAAGGCCTTTACTCCAGACGAACTGGTCATGCTTTTCGGCAGGACCGATGAGGATTGGTCTCTCGAAAGTAAGTTCAGACTCTCTTTGCATTATATGACTATGCTAACAATACCTTAGCATTGGTGGACTCGATTAAGGCAGACCACGGCTACAACCTCGATAGCAAGAGCGTGCGCAACCTATTGTCTACGATGAGCCAATTCAATGCGCAAGAACGTCGAGACTTTTTGCAGTTCATCACTGGTAGCCCCAAGCTTCCAATTGGAGGTAGGATCCATCTGATCTTCTCACAAAATCACAGCCATGCTAATCTTTTTGTAGGCTTCAAGGCTCTCACACCAATGTTCACAGTTGTTTGCAAGCCCAGCGAGCCACCATTCACATCCGACGATTATCTCCCGTCTGTCATGACCTGTGTCAACTATCTCAAAATGCCAGACTACAGCAGCGTCGAAATACTGCGGGAAAAACTCAGCGTTGCCATCCGCGAAGGCCAGGGTGCTTTCCATCTTTCTTAAAATGCAAAGTGTAGGTGTGTGTGTGTGTGGTTTTGGAAGACGGGGGAGGATGTGGAGAGAGATATATATATATGGTATACCCTTGGTTGGTGGAGTCAGTTTTCCTTGGGCGCCACCGGAATATTGATATCCATAGCTTGTGTTTCTTTTCTTTTTTGGAAGATGCAGATGGTTCTCTTTTGTTTCATCGTGCATTAGGTTCTTCTACGCTCTTATGAAATGTATTGCATTGCGGGGTAGTTTATTTTTTAGTTCTTTTGGTTCTTCTCCTTTGTCTTCTTTTTCTACTATTTTCCTGAAGGGGGAATACTACGGCGTTCGAAGCGCATGGGGGGTTAGTTGGTTCATTTTGTGCCTATTTAGTAGTAGTAGTAGTAGTTTTTCAAGTCTATAATTGCTATACAAACTACACACACAGATTCCTTAAACATATATATATGCATTGGCAGGTTAAGCTCTTTTTTCTTGGTCTCTCTCTCTCTTCGTTTTCCCCGCTTAAACCCTATCGTTCCTAAATCTTAAATAGGGGGGGGGTAAGCGGAGATCCATTTGACCCTCGATCCTCAGTTTTTGGTTGGGGTTCTTCTTCCATTACTACTACTACTACTACTACTACTACTACTACTACTACTACCACCACCCTGCAAACCCCGTTAATCCCCAATCACGACCCACGACCCACGACCACCCGCATCAGCACTAAGTTTAGAGAAAAAAAAACCCCGCCGACCGAGATCCCAACCCGGCGATTCTTTCAGGGTCCTCCATCCCCCCCCCTTGTCCCGTTTTTTTAGGGGGAGGAGGGGGGAAGGGTCGAGCGCGCGTATGCACGTACCACTTTTTTCCCGTATTCTCGCTGTTATCGAAATAGTAGAGAGGGGGAGGGAGCGCACGGACCCGTGTTCGCGTGCCTGGGTTTGGTCTGTACTTTTGCTCGTTGGGTCTCCGAGCGCCGAGTGGAGCGGAGTGTGTCGGTGTTTCCGCTGTGAGGGAATGAGTCGTGTATAATAAGAGGGTTTGGGGATGAAGGAGAAGAGGAGGAGGAGAGGAAGGGGAGAAGGGGAGAAGGGATGGTTGGGGGTTTTTTTAAGTCCAGATTTAGATATCGGGGGTTTTTCGTTGAATAGTAAGTACGAGTGTGGTTTGATTAGTAGTGGGAAGGGGAGGGAGGAAATGACTGACTCGTTTGCTAATTTTCTTTTTGGGGCCGAGGAGTGGACAGAGCGTTTTTTTTTGTCCGTTGGTTATTCGTGTCGGTGGTTTGCACAGCGACTGGTGGGGGTGTGAGATGAGAGAGTGTCGTTCATAATGTTTCTTTTTTTGGGTCCAAGCACTTGTCTTATTTTATGTATGATTTGCGCGTCTAACTGCGTGGTTGGATTTGAGGAGGTGTGTCTTGAATATCCCCTACTCCGTCTTCTTTTGGCGTGAAGAGAGAGAGAAAAAGAGAGACATTATTGTTAGCTTCGTGACTTCTTCTTCTTCTTATTCGATCGTTCTTTCTGGGTTTTTTTTTTAGTTCTTGTTTTTTTAACACATTGCTTCATTCGTGGTTTGCTCTTTCCAAACGCTACGCCACTCTGAGTGCCTTGCTGCCTTTCTCCTTTTATCTCCCAGACCTCTCACATTCCAACATATTTTTTCCCGAACACAACTCTTGGGGGAAAGTCTCTCCATCCAACCGGATATCGCGGAAGAACAAGACAACACACAAAAACGCACATCATGCCTACCTCGCCGCAAACCCACCCGCTCCTCACCCGCGACCACTACGAAACCAAAAACACCCTCTCCATCTTCCACGATGACTCGCAGAAACGCGGCTTTATCATCGTCATCGTGCTCAGCGTCTTCGCCACCGTCGGCATGCTAGCTCTCATCTTTCTGCTCGTCTTCCTCAAGAAGAAGCGCGACCGCCGTAACAAGGCCGCGAAAATGGATGCGGAGAAGGGCTCGATTTGGCCGGGGACGAAGAAGGGAAAATACCAAAAGGTCGAGGACGAGGATCAGAGAGATGGGGTTTGGAGTGCGGACATGGAGTTGGATGAGAGGGGCGCGTATAGTGGGGCTGGGTATGGCGAGGGTGTGGGCAAGGAGCCGTATAGACCGGTAAGATGATGATGATGTTATGTACGAAGATTAGTATAGAGAGCTAACGAGATATAGGCTGATTCACATGCCTCTAAGTGAAGGAGGTGCTCGTGGATACTATAGATATTTTCTTGGGTTTCGATTGTATATTTTCTGGAGCTTTTTTTTTCAGCGAGCATATGGGTGGGATGGCAAGACATTTCTAAGGAGTTTTGTTTGATATCTAGTCGAACAGCAGGCGTGACTGGTGTTATCATTTTCTTACTATTGCGTTATTGCTTTTGATGTTTGGCGCGGCCGCGACTATGAGCAGCACTACGGAATGGTGTCCTCAATGTAAGAATAAGAGAAGAAATATCGTAAAGCTTAGCCACGATTTGTGGGGTGTTGTAGTCTTTAATCACCAGAACAAAGTTTTGAGAGGACTGTAAAAACAAAATGTGTGTATTATCTGTCTATCTGCTTCATGGAGACTTGAATATTAGTCGATATTTAACCACGTAGGAATTGATTGCTGAACTCTAGCATTTAGGACACGAGCTGATGTGGTTCAAAGAATTGGGTCTCACCGGAGGCTTGTCGTCTTTCACGAGAAATAGTAAAGCTTGTACAAGCTTAGTTTATCTAAAATGTCTATCGTAATGCAATGTCTAAACTTCTAGAACATCTATACACATCTTGATCGTGAATCTATCCACAGAGCCGCAGCCACGACAACAGCCAACTAACCCTTTATCTACAACAAAAGCTTTTCCCAACCCCCCCCCCCATCCCCCCATCACTTTTGCGCCCTCCTCTCCTCCAACATCTCCTCCACATGCCTACTCAACCAAAAACCCCTCAACCCCGCCTCCTCCATCTCTCCCGCCCCCCTAATCACCCCAAGACACCCCTCCTCCCCACACTTACACTCAAACGGCTGCGCCATGCTCCACTCGGTACTCGGATAAAAAAACGTGAGTTCATCCCCTTCCTTCAACCCCCCTTCGCGCTCACTAACCCTTACCTCCCACTTCTCCATGTCGAAGACGAGACTGGGCGCGCAGCTGTGGTTGACGTAGAGCAAGTCGCAGTTTAGCTCAATGTGCAGGTTCCGTGAGGCTTGCACGGAGGAGTAGGCGGCCGTGGTGGTCGGGGTTGGGTTGGTGATGCGGGCGAAGAGGGCGCCGGGGGGGAGGGTAACGAGGGAGAGGGAGCGGCTGGTGAAGGAGCCTGGGTTGTGTTCTACGCGGAGGAGCCGGGTGAGGTCGGGTTGGACCCAGGCGGGGATTTGGTGGGAGGCATCGGTGGGAGTCACAGGTTTGGTGGGGGTTGAGGCTGTGGTTGGTGGGACGGCCGAGGGGGCCATTGTTGTAGGGATTTTTTTATGTACTTTTGTCAAGGGAGGGGGTCTTTTTGAGTGCGTATGGGAATTGGAATTGGAAGATATTCGTAGGCTAACAATGTCAGGTAAGAGAGCGACGGTATGTTCTTTAATACTCGGCTTGGAGTGGTTCGATTGACCGGACTGTGTGTTCAATTGCCGTTTGACCGAGGCGTACGAGGCCCCATGTGGAGACGTAGTTTTTTTGTCTTTGTGTGGGGATACTAAGGACGGCTCCATATTGTAGTCTGCGCCTTACGGTCATACGTGGGTACATCCCGCGTTGTGACATTCTATGACTTGCACTTGTACACATATCGTTTGAGACCCGGTAGTAGCGTGGTGTTTATGCCGAGGTACTCTACGGCAAGAGATGGTACCTTCGGTTGTCAGCTTTGGAGTTGTAGGATACACTTTGCTGTCTCTGGCCTTTGACACAGAAATATTGGAGAGGAGGGAGAATATATAGACAGGGCATGTTCTCGTCCTTCTCTACTCTCTACTGCTTAACCATTGAAATTTTTTGGACTTATTTGAAAAGTCTATCACCATACGTCGTCAGACAGTATGTTCTGATTTTGACCAGTGGTATTCTCGGTTCGCGCAACGTTCTAACTAGTTACAAAGTAGCGCCCACCTAGCCCGTAAACAGCAACACTCCGCTGCAGGCCCCCCCCCCCACACTCGGCTTGTTGCAGTTGTGTGATTTGTCCTAAGCGATGTTTCATCTTGAGTGAAAGGGATTTGATCTTAAGCGATTTGGAATACAGCTTCTTAGGGACTAAACAACGCGTAGACAGGATTGCTCTAGTTGATCTCTGAATCCATTTTGACAGGTGCAGTTTCACAGTGTAACGTCCGTTTTAATCAACTATACCCTATTTGGTTTAGAAGATCTTCCTAATTGATCCTTCTGGCACAGTATGTTCTGGGCTGGCTATACCCAAACATCATCCTTGAGCCCGTGAACGGCGTTGAAGAGGGGTTTAGCTTTGGCTACGTACGAAGCTACTTACCCACTACTACCAGCTCCAGTTTTATGCTTCCAAATCGTGGTATCCATTAATTCGTACCCATGCTAACCTCATGACATCTACAATCACCATCTTTTCACTTGGCGTAAGTCTGCTCAACAGGTGAAACCTCGCCGTCGCTCTCAACGCTCGTCGCCGGTACACCCTGCAATCCCATTTTACTGGTATCATACCCGTTCGCAGAGAGGTACTCTCTAAACTTGACATCCTCTTGATCAATTGTGTCCTGTCCAATGTGCGGGAGTAGCAGTACCAATGCAGCAGCTACAAAAGCCAGAGATGAGGCTACGAAAAATGGGTTGCGGCCTGCTGCGATTTCGTCGTCACCTGCTGCCTTTTGGATAGCGTCGAGAGCGTAGGAGCCGGCGAAGGCTCCGATTTTGCCTACTGCGGCTGCGATGCCGTAGTATTGTCCGCTGGGAAGATGTTAGTTCTAGGTTTTCTGTTATGCAAGAAGGAAGACGGTGTCAATACATACCGGATACCAGTAGCGCACGTCTTAGATGCTACCAGGCCAATATTGTCTCCTGGACCAAACTCTCCCAGGGCAAGGAAAACACCGTAAACAACCACAAATCCAGCAACATTCTCAGGCTTGCTTAACCATGGGTATACCCCGGCCATGATGAAACCAATGATACCCTGTAATGTGACTCCAATGAATAGCGTCTTCTTCGGGCCCATAGAAGGCAAATCAGCGACAAAAGCACCAGCAAGGCAACCGGGCATGTAGAAGAAATTGATGAGAATGTTCCATGCTAGACTCTTCCACAGCGGCGCCGATTCTCCAAGCAAATTGGCCAAGATGGACGTCGCATAGATACCGAAGGAATATGCGCTGAAGTCATAAATAAACCAGATGATGCTGACAATACTAAGCCGGAACCAGTAAAACTTGATAATAAGCAGCCATGGCGTTTTCGCTTTAGCAAGGGACTCGCGCTGGAACGCCTCGGGTTCCTGCAGTTTAAGACGGAGGTATAGAAGCGATAGAGGGGGTATAATGCCGATGCCGAGACAAATGCGCCAAGCGGCTCGAAGATGGTTTTCGCCAGTGATGAGAACAACGACTGTGGCGACGATTGCGCTGATGAAAAAGGCGAGGTCGATTTGCACGTTAGTGAAGAGAATGAACCATTTGTTTCGTGTTCCTTCTTTGAGCTCGCCGGTTGATTCGGCACAGCCTACGCTGCCGGCTGGGTATTCTCCGCCAATACCTGCATGCGTCAGCATAGCATTCTTGTTGGAAGATTTACATCGAACGTCATACCGATTCCTAAGAAGAAGCGATACACGACCAGCGCTGTGAGTAGACCGCTTGGGCTACCGCCAGCGCCATACGAAGCCGTGCCTAGTGTCGCAAATAGGATAATGATGATTGTCGAAGCGAACAAGGACCATTTTCTCGAAAAGTGGTCAGATGTGTAGCCGAAGAATAACATGCCCACCACGGTACCAGCGAATGTTATACTCGCTACATTTGCCTGGGCTGAAGACGACGCATACGACTTGGGATAGATGGTCTTGAGCATGGTGTTTACAGGCCCGATAATCTAGACATGGTGTTAGCAAACCTAGAAATTCTGCAATGTTTCTGTTTTGATGATGCTTTGGGCGAGAGTTTTGTTGCTGCGCTGGGAATTGTTGTCGCTTGGGTGTTGTCGTACATTGTTCAAATAACCATCACTAAAAAGACCAGCGCCACACGCAATCACAGGCCATAGGCGCTCCCATTTTCCCTTTTCTGTCCTTGCGACACTGCCTCGACGTTCGACATCTTTTTCAGTCGTGCGATCGAGGTCGGGCTTGACTTCTGCTGGAGAAGCCATGGCGATGGAAGCTGCTTGGTCGCGTTGTTTCTTGGAACTTCACCCCGTGCGGCAGGCGAATCAATAGTGCCCTATTGCAACGACAAAACGGGTCTTGTGAGCGGGCAGCCTGACATTTAAACAGCTTGGTTCTTGTGGCAACAGGGTCGTGCTGCAGCCGCGGAGCTACAAAAACCCGGTGATCAAGTGTTCTTTCCAACCAGGTTGGGCATGGTGCAGAGGTGGTGATGCAGATCGAGCGTTGATAGCCACTCAGAAGACGGCAAAAGCTTTGCTCAGGTGTGTCTGTGTGCGACGGGAAGAAGCTGAATGGTTAGCCTCGATGTAACCGGAGACAACAGGCCTGAAATATTCGGCACGGGAATACCGAAAGACGAAGTCGTCACGTAGCATTCTGTGCATACTACATACACACCGAATGTTGCGAGCTTGTGTGTCTTGGACATAGGTCGAATGTCGATGCCATCCGCTCTGGTGTGTTTAATATTGACGGCCAAAGGGTTTCATTTGTAAGAGATTACGTGCTGATTCCATACCATACACAGTTGATGTATGTATGTATGTAGTAGAGATGGGGGTGGGGGGATCATGATGATGATGACGATGACGACGACGACGACGACACTCAAGCTTTTGCCATGCTTCGGCAGCGGCCGACGAAGCATCAGAGTCGAGGCTTGAACAGGTGGCTGGCGGTGATACTACATTGGGCTTAGGCGTGCTGCAACTATGGCACGAGGTGTGGCGTGTAAAGGTCCAATCCATACCTCGGCTTGTTACTGATTGATAAGATGGGCCAAATCCTGCGAGGCGTGGACGGATGACCATCGAATTTGCTATGTTACAGTAGTGTGGCGCATGGGAGGCTTGGCTGCTGCTAAGGGCAGAGTAGCATCTCAATGGTAAGCCGCAAAATCACTGTTTCATCCCACCTCTGCGATCAAAGACTGTGCCCAACGTGGACATGATGCTCGAGTTCTGATTCAACATGTCCATGTGCGTAACGGCTCTGCAGATAGCGGTGGGACCAGAGCTCCACTGCGAGAAAGTTTTGCGACAGACGCGGTTACGGGCAACCGCTTTTGTACACTACTCAACACAAACCATGACTGCGTGCGTATGTAATGATAGCATTCGAGACGAAATCTCCCGACATGAGCCCGAAAACATGGGGCATTTGGGGCATTGGGATATTACATTCGCATCGGCCCGAACGGGCGCGCGCCGAGAGGGCCGAAGGTCAAGGATTTTGCCAAACCAGACAACTGCAACGACGCAAGCCTTCAACACGTGGGAACTTATCCGATAATCCTTCTCGGGCCATTGTTGATACATAGATTAATGTGGCTTCTTTTGTCTGCGCTACTACTTACGTACATGAAGAGAAACCAGGATAGAAAAAAACAAGGACATGTTGCATCTCGCTGCAGGGTATCACGTGAAGGAACGACCAACGGAAAACGCTTATGCATCTACTCATCTCACCACCGCTCCACCTACTACTTGTTATCAAACGCTTTGATATGCTCAAAAGGCACAGACGTTTTCTGGACCGTCGTCGTCACCGGCCCGTGCGGGTTGACCCTGTCCATCTCCGCAAACCAGTCATCGCCATCGTTCTTCGTTAGGTTTCTGGAACTCTGATCTTTGGAAGAGATCTGGTAGAGGTGGCGTGACGAATCTTGGCTCGGACGCGACCCAAGCTCCGCAAAAGGTCGCCCAATCGTCGAAGCATTGCTGCCCTTGCGTCCTACAAAGCCCGTGCCCATGGGCTGGTGGATGGATGAAGCGGCGCTGCTGCCTCGCGCGTGGTTGCCGCTGCTAATCTTTTCTCCCGACCTGCGAGGAATGTGATCCAGTATCGTAGACACCATGCCAGTCTTGCTGTCTCCGCTTGGTGTATCTTTTCTGTCGGTCAAGCTGATGGCGCCGTTGGAGTCAAAGCTTTCATGCCTCGCTATATCCTCCACACGTATCTCAACTTCATTAACGACGAAAATCTTGTTGGATGCCAGCGTTGCTATAACTGGCCAGAATATCGGGATTGAAGCAGTGATGATGGCAAAATTGACCTCGAGAACGGCAAAGATGTACACGACCGGTGTATGGAATGACATATCAAGCATGGGTATTGTGCCGGCGCGGTTTACTGTGAGAGCGATTAAGCGGCCCAATGCTACCAGTACAACACTGTATACACGTTAGAATCGTCCCTAGTGCTCGAGTGATGACGGGTTTTGTTCTACTTACGCGGACCCCAGTATGAATAGACCAATCAGTCCTGCTCTGCTCTTACCTGCGATCCTCAATGCAGTGACGAACGGAAGAGGCAGGAGCAGCACCATAGCATCGAGCACCAGATTGCTAACAGAATGGCCAAGGAACATGGGAAAGAATTTGGAGGGATCCTTGGCACCCCAACCAATGCACCGGCCCGGAAGGTTCATGTTCCAATTTTTGGCTATGGGGCGGCATGGGAAGACTGCTAGCAGGAAGAATGTCAAGCCCCATAGTGTGCAGATTACAATCATCATCCAGGTGAGGCGCCTGGCGAGGCGGTATCCGTTCGTGGTTGCTGATGGCGCAGATTCAGCAAACACACGTAAATACTGGAAGAGGATGGAGAGCTTGATCAGAGTGGCACTGGCACAATATGCCGCATTGGTGGAATAGATGTGCTATTTTCGGCGTCAGTATGAGTTAGTACATGTTGTCGGCGTTGCATGATAATACCTTGAAATACAACATCAGATGCTTAGCATCAAGTGTCCACAAGTGTAGACCTAGGCCATCACCCGGCACTGTAGTACGTCTGTCAGTTGCTAACCCACAGTGGATCTTGTGCTACTACGTACTTATGCAAACTAGAACGTCACCACAAAAGCTCGCAATGCCTGCAAGAACGACAAAGCAGTCATCCCAGCCCCAAAGACGGTCTTTGATACGGATCCACATCCGTAGGCTTAGGGTGATGAATGCAATGCTCTGCTCATTGTTAGCAAACGAGAAGACAAGATGACAGTGGACGAGTTCTGGCTCATGCTACATACGAGGAAAGCAACAGTAGTTCCTATGATTGTGGCAGGCTGGTTGGAGGTTGGCAAATTGGCATTATCCGGGTGGTTTCTCAGGCTCGCCACTGAGACTGGTGCGGCGGTCATGGTCACTTGGATGCACCAGAGGCGACGTGAAAGAAGGTATGCGAAGGGGGTGTCGTTTGTCAGTCGGCCTGGAGAGTGGGCTCGTACAGATAATCAGCGATTAGTTACATTCAAACTCCATTACGGGGTTTCTGTCAGCCTTGCGCAGAGGGTTCGAGTCGATGACAGGGCAAACGAATGCTGGGGTAGAGTCCAGACTGTGGTGGCAAGCGAGGCTGAATTTACAACGAGATGTAATGCCCTAATAAGACCCAACAGGTGGGCCAGCGATGGGCATATGAAAGTCATGACCTGCATACGTTACACCTCCTTAAACCACATGGCTGCTACCCCCTGCTGTCCCGCATGGAGGATCAAAACTGGGCCTGCAGCTAGGGACAGGGTGAATACAGTGCAAGCCCAGACCCCCTCCCCTGCTGTGCGTAGTGGAAGCGGGTCGTCACCAAGGGCTTGCTTGTCCGGCTCACTCTAGGATACCGCCCGCGCCCCCGTAAACGTTTTTTTCCTTTAGGCCCCGTGTGCTAGTGCTCAAGTAGAGTACGCCTAGTGGGTTGGCTACTGAGGAGTTTAGACTTGAACGATAGATCTACTTGAAAGGGCACCGAGATCCTTCGGCAGCGATGAACAATAAGGCTACACGATTGGTGGACTGCAATAAGATCAGGATCCAGCTGCCCAAAATAGGCTTTGAAAAGTGTAGAGTGGTAGCGAGCTCAAAGCCAGGCGTCCACCGAAGTGGCGTATTCTATTGGCACCCCGCAAGCCAGTGATGTTTCGCAGAAGCCTGAAACGACATAGCACAGAACTCTGTTGCGTTAGGGGGCTGTATGAGTCCAGGAATTCTTGTTTTTTTTCTTCTTTCAATGCAGCGCGCTCGAGGCGACAGGTGCGCCGCAATGTCGCTTACTCAAAAGCAAAAGGCAAGCGTCAAACCCTGGCTGCAGCTCGCGAGCATGCTGGCGATAACAGCATTATATAGCCAGGGGGAATCTTGTCGAAGATCCAATCCTTTGGGAGGCAGTTCCCGCGTGGTGGCGTCGTACTCAGACACCACGTGCACGGTGAAGCAGGGCAGAGTGTCGAAGGTCAAGGTAAGGCTTTATTGAGATGGTCGTGTTTACGAACGGTATGACTCGGGGCTTCATCCGCTCTTGGGGCCCACCTCCCAAGGCGAGCTACTACTACCTTAACCAGTCCCCTGCTGGCAGCGTTTCACCACGTCGATCCCAGATGAGGGGATCATCTCGGCCGTACCGTGTGGCTAAACCAACGGTTCGCATTGTAAGCGTAAATGGCTCAGCCAATGGAGCGTGCATGTCATCTTGTCCAAATGCTGCACTCCGACTGTGGTGGTGGGGATGCTTTTCAGGCCATCGGGCGGGCGTGCCTGGTGCGACGGTACTTTTCCGGGAGACTTGGACAAGATGGCCACTTTTTTTCGAAGCGGGCCTGTGAGTGCCCCTCACTGTGCCGCTCTTGTCTCGACGACGTTAATCCTCCTATTCGTCACCACTGTGCTGACTGGGGCATGGTCGGGGGTGTAAACCATTCGAGACTACGCCTCGGGCCCAAGTCGGCACAGCAGGCCATGGCGCCTCCCACTACACCCACTACATGCTGGTCCAACGCTCTGCGTACATGGCCCATTCAAAAGCGGTATCCGCTCTGATTACAGCCAAGCAGTTGACCCCAACCAGCAGTGATACACACCACTCATGCTGTATCGGGCAATGGGAGTGGGGAGAGCCGTTGTGGGCACGCGTCATAGCCTTGGATTCCGAGCTGCCATTACAAAGTCCTGTTTCATGTCGCTTGTCCACTTTGTTCGTGCTGCTGTCAGGGCCCACGCTGGCATCTGTCAAAGAGTGCGCCATGAAACTTGAGCGTGCAGGGGAAGTGTATGCGAGAAGTAATGGTACGTACACCATACGTTACCGGCCAAGGCCAAGTGTGGCAAGAGGTTGCGAGACGAACAGGGCTTTTTTTGCAAACGTCGCTGCACGGCCAGCACACCCTTTCCTTCGCCTATCTTATAGGCCATGGCCATCTGCACGACGCTGTGCAGCAGTCACATTGCGCTCCTGTCACCGCAAACGAGGATCTACTGTCTATGTGTGTGTGTGTGTGTGTGTGCGCTCCTCGTATGCCGCCATCATGGCGAAGACAACCTAAATCGCCTTCTAGCCCAGGTACACGTTCGTTTGTCGGCACCAATACCCTGACCCGGCAATCGGCGGAACCAGACAATACATTCCATGTATAGCGTTTACTGTAGTTACACATGGTCCCCTTGTGGAGGTTTGTATCACCAATGTCTATCACTAATGTCTGACACCGATGGCGACACCCATATTGCTTGCTTACATGACAAAACCTCCGAATCTCTCATCAGTCACACAACTGTGCGCTTGATCCCCACAAGTCTGGGCGGCAGCAAAAAGGAACTCTTGGAGAAAGCAAAAGCCGCAGGCTACTGGGTTCGGCTTGCCGTGCCTGGCCCACACAAGACCTGGTGGATATTAATGGAACTTATTGCTTTGAGCAATCCCTAAGCACTACATTCTCACTCAGATATTAGCCATGACACGAGGCATGGCAAATGCTCGGCGTCACGGAACATTAGAGGAATACTGACCGTTCCCACCATTGGCGCGCATATCTTGCTAGACTACATGCCATCACCACTGCCAAATCGTCAGTATCCATATTATTATACAAAACAACTCTGACTCCGGTTAGAATGTGCTGGCCCAAAAGTCGGCCCATGGATGCACTCGAGCGATGCCCCGAACAGATGTTTCCCCGAGGCCCGCCACTTACTCAAACCCCATGGGAGCCGCTCGGCTGGATGACGCTACCACAGTGGAGCTCAATCTAGTCAAGTGCCGTTCCTGCCGCAAGCTCTGTTCACAGCGTGCTTTTGTTATCGTACGTTTGCGCCTTGAAGCGTGATAGCGTATATGCAACAACACACCACCCTGCAGGAGCGTAAACAGACGGCAAGAAGAAAGCAGGTTAGCGCCTCTTGTCTCTCTATCCGCAGCACATACAGCCATGTGCCAACAGGATTTAATCTATGTTTGTTTAATTTTTTTAGTTGAACACCAAAAGTAACAAGGCCGTGTTCTTCTCAGGACTTGTTCAATTCAGCTCCGTTCTCCGTCTGCTAACATCAATCCAAAAACAGTATGGGCTCCGTCTAGAAAAAAGAAAGAATTACGTGACTGCGCTCAGCGCTAGTTGCAAGACCAGCTTCACCTCTCCTATTGAAGCACTGAGCTTAGAATGAGAACAAAATGAAAACGGAAAATCGGAAAATCGAAAAGGCTGTCAGCCAATGCATTTACTCAGACAGGCTCGCAGAGCCGCGGTCTAAGGACATGCTTTTGCCGTCCAGCCACACACTAAATGGGCGACAAGACAATATCACAGGACAGGGTATCTACAGAAAGAGCAAAGACAGGGACAACTAAGACGTGAAGTTAAACTAGCGGCACCGCAGGGCAGGATACCTCGGCTTGCGCCACAATGATAGCCCTAGAAAGGACTGGCCCAAAGTGTCCGCCCACAGCTCTGGTCGTGTCGGGTGTCATTCCAGCCTGCCGCTCGCGAAACTCGCGTATTTCCTGTCGTCAACATCGCGCCTTGCTATTAAAGTTTGTGTTGCACACCCCATGCTGAGATCAGCATAGCCTTCTTTTTCTGTCCGTGGTCCGGGAGTATCCGAGAACTAATCGTTATGTTTGTTAAAACCGTAGCTTCAACTATAGCCTTGAAATTTCTATCGCGAATACGAGAGCATACCTATACTACTGCAAAAGAACAAGAGAAGACTATTCGGTGCCAATCATAACCGCATTGCGAAAGTAAAGGTAAACTCTACTTCACCATATCCCCCCAATGACATGGTGTCCGCACCCATCCGTATCCTGCAGCCTCACAAAAATGTCATACATAACAAACGAATACGATAAGATTTCCCTACTCTAAACCCTATGAATTCGGCGATCTCGAAGCATAAGAATACAAATTCTCGCAAACCATACCTCCTATGCAAAAGTATATGTAGAAAACCACGCACATAACACGCAAAAAGTCATGACTTCGTTAGCAAAACCCAGCACTGAGGTATCACCGTCCCATCGCGCCGTCGGACTTCGTAATTACGTGCTCATCTTCAGAAGTTCCGTATGAAAAAATACTCTACAATGATTCAGGATAGCGATTTACTTCCACCTTAACAAAAAGAAAAAGGGAGGAAGTGAAGATCTGGATAGAACTTGCATCGCTTGACCGAATGAAGCAAGATCGCTTGCACTCGGACAAGGGACTTGCATTACGTGCTTCAAAAGTTAATGTGACAAATTTAAGATCACTGACTCAATCGAATTGACTAGCATGACACCGGGTAAGGCGAATGGTCAGACACCTAAGCCCTACTGTTCCGCCGGAAGTGAATATTCCTATCTACATGCCGAACAGGAAAACAAGAATGAAGATACCGCACACCGCGTTACGCGCTGGTGAATAACCCTCCTTACCGAGTCTAGTCTGCAAGTCGGATCTGTGGGAGAAAGTATTTCCTCTGTGTTTTACTTAACACATACATGTTTAGATGCGCTTCGCAAAACTCACCACGGTCTCTTTTGCGGCTTGTAAAAAGGGTAAGAACGGCACAGTATGGCACGAGATTTGGGATGGCAGGTGAGATACTCCGTTGGTGATAGAACGATATCCCAAGTCTCTAGATTATCACTTGGAAAAGGTGGTTTGTAGAGCACCAAGTGATAGAAAATTATACTAAGTAGGGGACATACTCGAGATTCACATATGCTAAGTTTAAAAAAAAACAGGGTTCAACGAACTTCCGAGACACTCGTAGAGACAAACTGCACGACATACGCTAATATTAGATATCTTAACCCAATCCATCATGCCCGCACAGATTCTCTGCAAGATGGCGTGTAAGGGTATAAAATTTCAAACTTTGCTGTCAAGAT